CATTCGTCAACTAATTGTCAATTTTGGTCTTAGTCAACTTAAGATTTCTTCAGTATATCGGTCATAAATGTTTTTTTTGTATGCAGAATTTATTTCCAATAAGTTTATAAGCCATCTCTGGTGATCATAAGGTTTAAAGGGGACCTATCATGCAAAATGCACTTTTGATGTCTTTTATACATAAATATGTGTCCCCGGTGTGTCGGGGAACTCACAAAGTGTCAGAAAATAAAACCCTCTCTCTTTTCCTCCGTGCGCAAATCTCTAAAAACGGGGGTACAACGGAGCTGATCCAGATTTACGTCATATCGGATGGTGGACCCACGGCACTATCAGAAACGTCGCTGTATCAGAAACAATTCCGACGTGTTTTGGACGTAATATTCTTTGTTTACATTAGCAAGCATCGCTAACACTCAGAGCTAAGCTGTACTGGAGAGAGCATGTGTAAGAAGCAGGATAATAAGAACTGGATACAGCGTCGGAGGCGGGGTCTCGTTCTTTCCTATGAGAGCTGCTCATTGGCGCATGAAGGCAAGGCAAGTTTATTTATATAGCACCTTTCAACACAAGGCAAAATGGCCCAACTTTTGAGAGAGCGAAACGTCACAGATGACCCGTTATGCCTGGCTGTCAGAACAGAAGAACCCGTATGTGCAGTCATAGAGCTGCACATACGGCTCACTAGAATGAATGGAGAGAAAATAAATCTAGATTCGGCTTTTAGTGCATTTTACAACTTTAAGGACTTAATAGGCGCTTTCACACCGGACTACTTTTCCCAGGAACTAGGCCGATAGTTCTTGCTACCCAGCAGCTTCTACTGAAGCCAGTCCCCAACTCCGGGGACTTCGGGTGGCAGTATACGCCGTGAAGTTGTTTGCGGCCTGCCAGTAAACCCAAAGCAGAAGAAGAAAAAGTGACGTCGGCGGCTTCAGTTGCGTAATCCTCCCTCAGGGACTTATTCCGGTGTGAACACGATCTACAGGACAGTTCCAGGGACTAAAGAGTTCGGGGGGACTAAGTACCGGGAACTAAGTACCGCAAAGTACTTGGTGTGAAAGCGGCTAATGATGCAAAAAGAAAATTGTGTTAGGCGAATCAGAGTTTTGTTTGTGGAGAACCACCTTAGATTGTAAAAGGCTGATAAAATATGTCTTATTGTAATTTACAATTCCTCCTCTTCATTGAGGAGTTGCATGTTTGCTCGATTGTGTTTTTGTTTGGAATATTGCTTTAGTGCGCCCTCTGCTGTTTCAGAGAATACAATAAAAGAGTCTGCTGGGCATTAAAAACGACTTCAAAGATGCACGCCATCTTTGGAAGGCCAACTTCTCATGAGATTTTAAACGAAACTTTACTCTTTATGGCTACAGGTTGTCGGCCCTACTCCATCCCCCCCTGTGAACACCATGTGAACGGCAGCAGACCCTCCTGCTCTGGGGAGGAGGGGGACACCCCCGAGTGCGTCTTCAGTTGTGAAGCTGGATACACTCCCAGCTACAAAGCAGACAAGCACTTCGGTGAGAGGGGCAGAAGGGATTAGAGCGTAGCATACTAACATTAGCTATGTGTCTTCTCATACTCTTCAGTATGTAGCTTATTAAATATAAAAATGTAACTTTTTGCTCTAACCCTTTGATTTTATTATTTATTCATTCCAGGAAAAATGTTTCTGTATTATATTTTGTTGTAATAATTGGATGTGATCCAATGTTCTCCTGATAAACACAGTATGAAAAAAGGCAATTATTTCAGTTGTAAACAGACTTGGTTAAAACATGATTTATTATTTTAAATACGAAAGACCAGATTGCTACAAGTTGATGTTTCGTTTTAGACAAATTGATTAAATCTGGAATAGAAAACTGTTAAAAATGCGTAACTAATGGGACTACATTTACACTGACTGCCTTACATATGAATGTGTTAATTAGATCTTCGATAAAGACATGTAAAACAATGTTATCTACCTTTTGATGAACATCCCATTTGTACACATGCACATGCAGCACAGGACTAACTCAAAGTGTGTTGCAGGTAAAACTTCTTACAGCGTGCCGTCAGATGAGGAGCAGATTCGGGATGAGATAACCAAGAACGGCCCAGTAGAGGGAGCCTTTACCGTCTATGAAGACTTCCCGCTGTACAAGACTGGTAAGATGATGGTCACCAGTAACGGTTATAAGCAGTACAAACACATGAGAACTGAGTATTTGTAGCACAGGGTAACACTGAAGGCAGATTTTGTAAAATATTGTTTCTGACGCATTTTAACTCGCACTCTTGCTGACCCTCCGCTGTGTGTTGTTTCTTGGCTATTTGTTTTCCGTCTCCAGGTGTGTATCAGCATGTGTCCGGCTCTGCTTTGGGGGGCCACGCTATCAAGATGCTGGGCTTTGGAGAGGAGGACGGCGTCCCCTACTGGCTCTGCGCCAACTCCTGGAACACTGACTGGGGAGATAAAGGTGTGCAAAGATGCATGTTTTATACTCAACTTGTTTTGTTTTAATCTAGGTTGGTAAGTATCCTAAAACAATGTCCTCATCCCCTCTTATCTTCCTTCTGTGGACAATAAAGTAAAAATATATAGTAAATCAATTTCATGACTATGTAGAACTTTTTTAACTGAATATACCTACCTCTTGTGTATGAGACACACAAGCATATATCATATAGTGTCACACTACTACTATTTTCTAGTTACAAACATGCAATTTCTGGTGTTTAGCAAAACCAATTATTTCTTCAATTTGTGTAAACTGACCACTGCTGTGTTTCTGTTTTTAGGATTCTTCAAGATCCTGCGTGGATCTGATCACTGTGGTATTGAGTCTGAGGTTGTGGCTGGGATTCCCAAGTAAATGCTGAGGTGAGACAACAAAAATCGACATGGATCAATAAAAATGTATTATATTTATATAGCTCTTTTCCCAAGATGCTTCAGATATTGGCTTTGAACAAATGTGTGTGTGTTTTACGATGTGCCTTTTACTGTAGATCTCTCCTCTGTTGCAACCTCCTTAATTCTAAACAGTGGAGCATTGATTTGTATTGTTGCATGAACCTCAAATATCTTTGATTGTTGACTGTTTACCACCCCTTTTGCTCCTATGAAAGGATGTTGTGTTTATGAAATCCTACACAAAAGTTTAATAGCTTCTGTGGCTTGACGTCTTTGCCTTTTTTCTCTTGCAGGTTTTTGGCTGCCGTTTCCAAATACTCATGATCACTAAAGAGACGCTGAACTCACCTCAAATGTAACTTGTCTCACAGCTTTTAGTACTTTCTTTTAGATAAAGCCAACTGATCAACTGATCACCTGCTCACATGGCATGTGGTTTTATTTTGTGCACAGGCGGAGACCTTCACCTCATTTAGGTGAAATAGCAGGAGTATGTGCCTGAGCACAAATTAGCATTCTTGAATTGAAGGTTTTCTTTGTGACCGAGTCGTTGTCTTACAGCAAGTTAAATCAAAAATACTGTGGATTTAATTTAATCTCAGGTGATTTGGAGCAAACTGTCACTGTTTGTAGAATTGTTTTTGTTCCCTTGTGGACACATTTTGTATCTGGCACTGGTGTAAAGTGCGGGGCATCTTCAACTATTCAGCCCATGATTGAAAGAAATTACAATACCCTGCCTTAACACAGCAAAGAAAGGTCAGTTTGATATGAATGTGTCTAATTTGTAATGGTCACAGCTTTCATACTTTGATATTTGTATTCAATATAATTTCTCAATGCCACTCCATAATGTTAGGATGAACTCCTTGTGATGCCTGTTAGTGTTTTTACATATTAAGTATCGGTTGACAAATTGTCTGTTAAATGGGGTTGATAATGGGATGTTTTTATTGTCTGCCAATTGGATCTAAAATATTTGCGCCCAACTGTATGTTCTGAAATAAATAAATATTTGTTTACCAATATGTGTTACTCTTTTTAATATGCTTACTGGCTTTTTAAATCGATTTTTTTTTTTTATCTGAATTATTTATTTATTACACCTGTGATGGGCATTAAATCACAAAGAAAGTGTGGGTCAAGCAGTGATCTATAATGTCATATATATATATCCAAACTATCCTGATGGTTAATAATAAAAGTATATTTTTGCTGCATCTAAAAATGCACTACTTTGTTCAATCTTATTAGTAATTTAAACATCTTTTAACGTCATACACGTTTTACCCTGCAAAGCATTTTCTCAACAAGTTTAAAGACATTTAACTTTTTGCACTGCTCGACATTAAACCTGCCTGTCTGGCATTGTAAATATTTCTTATAATGGCTAAATTGTTACATTGTACATGGACTGTGCGTTGTAATAAACATGTTTATAATTTGAGAACATGTCAGGGGGGGATGATGTGGATACATTCTATTTACATTTTAAGTTTACAAGCCAAAACGGCCCTTTTTTTTTAAACTTTAGAATCTGTTTTACACACTATGAACTGTACAAGTTATTACATTTTTGGAGAAAAGAAAGGACATTTGGGGTCTGCTAAGCATTTCAATTAAACATTGGCGATGCGGATGCAACATTCCTCTATGTATTTACTTGTTCTATTCTATTTAGGTGTTTATTTTTGCCGGTTTTGCCCCTCTGACATCTGATTTCCAGTCTATTTGAATATATGAAAGTTGCCCTCACTTCACTTCCGCCTTGCTGTCAGCGAAAACAAACACTCCCCCTTCATAGTACAATAAATGTTGTTTGTTTTATACACTGGCGTATTCCCTTAACAAACCCGAAATCGGTGCGTCAGTAAACAACAGAACTAAAAAAATAAGCTTTCTTTCTTGGGATCATAGAAATACGTTTTTTTACAGATACTGAATCAGTTGATGTGGTAACGTTTTAAGTCAATAACAGAAATTAAGGATTCTGCTCAGTCTCCGCCCAGTTAGGTCCCACCCGGGACACTCCGGCGGATAAAACAAACGAACTCCTCAACGCACAGCTTGTTATTTAACCGGCGGTGTGAGCAACCGGATCTAGTAAGACAGCGAGCGATGGAGAGAGAAGGAAGGGCTTCGTGGATGAAATATGGGCCTGTTGTGTCCCTGTTTGTGGTTCTTTTGTCCTTCTGGTTCCGGTCACCCCAGAATGAAGTACTGGACGACCGGCTGGACACCGTCCTGTCCTCTCTGCTCCGGGCTGAAGGAAAAGTCGGGGTGAACAACGTGGCCCGACCTAAAGTGGCAGTGGGTAAGTGTAGGTGATGTTAGCTAACGCTGCCTAGCCAAACATCAATTAGAGTCTAAATACGGAGTCTATGAGCTAATAATCAATGATGTAATTAATAGCATACACAATAGCTGGTATTGATTGGTTATGCTCCAGATTAACTAACGAATTGCTCTGTAACACAGCAGAACAAAACACATATCATTCTAACCATGTATACCAGAGGTGGAAGAAGTAAGTAGATGTTGTACTTAAGTAAAAGTACAAATACCAGAGTGTAGGAATACTATGTTACAAATAAATGTCCTGTTATCAAAACATTTCTTAAGTACACTACTTGAGTAAATGTACCTAGTTACTTTAGACCACTGACTGACACAAGGGTAAACATTAGCTAAAGGGGTCATTCCTAGGTTTCCAGGGCCCTTATTACGTAAAAGATTGGACATTATGTGACTGGTTGAAAGGGAAATTGAAGTTTCCAATGCACTTTGAAACACTTAAGCCACTGTGGAGATGTCAACGTCTAGAGACAACACATTTGTTATTAAGAAGTACAACATCAGTGGGCTTTAAAGAGCCATGGTTGGGGGATTTCCACACATTAACCCAGGGACACATGCATTGGATATTTGACCAAGGCAATTTAAAACAATTCTGAAAACATAAAACAATTTGAAAGGTCTCCTAAATGTATAAATGATATTGAGCTGGGGGGCATAGGACCCTGGGAACATGTTTGCACTATGAAGTTAACCTAGCTACACATTTGCCTTTTTCTGTTAATATCTGGAGGTTTGTCAGCAAATGAATGACTTAGGGAAAATCAATTAGATCTTGGCTAGTGTAGTATGTTGAGTGTAGTTTGGACAAATAGGGAGGTTACAGAGGGTCGACCATTAATGATTAGCACTTTCAAACATCAGTTCAGAGATCCTCCATCCACCATCAGGAACATTGCTGGAATTATTCACCTGACAAGCTGCTTAAGATAGTTTACAGCAAACAACATTATTTGCATGCTGGCCCATTTTTCACTATCCCGATCTAATCCTAAAATCTTGTCCTTTGAGCCTTGTTACGACCACACAACAGAAGTGATCCCCATATCAGTCCAACCTTTACCCAGTTCAACATGCTTGGCCACGCAGTCATCGCTTACATTGTTATTATTCAGATTGAATATATAAGGCATAACAAGTTGCATCTCATTATAATGTTTCTTATATTAGGTGCTTCACAAATACTATACAAATACTGGCCTGTTGACTTTCAACCAAAAGCACAGTAAATATGTAATTTGTGCTGATCTTATGACCTAATAATATGCACAGGTATTCTTGTTTATATTATGGAAAGCAAATTATCTAAAGAGAAAAGCAGATATTCAGGACTTCAGGACTGAAGCTAAGTGCATTGAAAAGCAAAGCAAACAAAGCAGCAGGAAGTTAAGCTAAAGTCAGACTAATTTCAATATTTAAAACCAATTCAAATGTTAAAGAAAGTGAAACAAACTAACTTTTTCCATTGCCTTTTCTCCCAGCTTGCTAACTTAGTCAGGCAGTCTGGGTTTTTGCAAAGCGTATTGGCCTTGGTTCAGACTTGACAGAAAATATTGTCGATGAAAGCTATGCGTTGATGACTCGTCAGCTGAAACTGTATCGATGTGTCGGATCATTTGACCTGCCATGGTGGCAGAAAAATGATGCAGCTCAGCAGCTGCATGTGAGGACTCGTCAGTGTTTCCCCTACCATTGTCTTGGAGGGGTGCTGCGCCCCGCCAACGGAGCCCCACGCCCCCCCTGAAATTCAAGGTGTTTTTGTTTTTTGAATTAATTATTTTTTTGTTTTTTAATAATACATATTTATAGCACCAAATTGCAACTAATCTATATCTACTGTCACTTTTCACATTGAACATGTGCTCTTTTATTATATAAACTAAACACTTTCATTTTAAGTTGTGAGTTTAGTGTTTTTGACCCTAAGAAACACCGATGCATTAATCAATAACAATAATCCACAGCTCCTCTCTCTGCTCCAGAGGATTACAAAAAATCCCCCCCCAGAAGTATGATCTTCTGGAGATGAATGGTTTTGTCAATGACACGTCAGAAACTAGTGAAACATGTCCATCCCAGTCCCTCTAAGACTAAGTCCATGGAGGTTTCTTTAACTGTCTTGTTTTATCAGTCCAAAACCCAAAGATATGAATTAAAGCTATTTATTCCATTTAGATGTTTAATATGATATAAACGAGCAAAGAAAGAAACATACTTTTTGTTAAGAGTCTGAAAACAATATTTTGTGCCATTTTCGCATGAATTATAACTATTAATCATTTATCAAAATAGTTTTTCTTTATTATTTCTTTCAATTTAGTTTACCGATAAGTCAAATTATCCTTGACGATTTGATGTTGTAAAGACAGTGTAGGTCATCTCTTTATCTTCTTCATTTTGACCCTAGATTTAGAGTTGTAAACCTGATTCTGGGAATGTTTTTATCAAACATTGATCTCTTTTCCTTTCTTTTTCTCCCCCTCTCCTCCCCCTCTCCTCCCCCACAGGTTTCGGAGGCTGTGTGGACCTGATAGTGGACGGGGTTTCGTTGCTGAATAAGATCGGCCTCGCTCACACAGACCAGCCCCTGCACCACGACCTCATAGAAAATGAAGTGCAGCTGGCTCAGAGCTTCGCCTACTTCTTCGCACCGGGAGCTGCCGCAGAGTGAGTACAACTTTTATATAATTCTTGATGAATTTAAGTAAAAAAAGGCTAGTTTGTGACAACAGCAAATATACATAAAACATCCGTTAGCAAACTCTCACACTCCAAGGCTCATTTTTCAAGTCGTACTTTAAGCTCACTGTTTTCCAAACGCATGCACTTTTGCTAAAACTTTACTAATTAATACATTCTAATTGAATAAAAAAGATGGGGAACATGAAGTAGATGGAAACTTTGTCAGGAGTAAGACAAGTCAAGAGTAGATTTAAAAGAAAACAGTTTCTTTGTTGCGATGCATACCTCAGGCTGCCGTGCCTCTGACGCCTCAGCCTGCCGTGCCTCTGACGCCTCAGGCTGCCGTGCCTCTGACGCCTCAGGCTGCCGTGCCTCTGACGCCTCAGCCTGCCGTGCCTCTGACGCCTCAGCCTGCCGCGCCTCTGACGCCTCAGGCTGCCGTGCCTCTGACGCCTCAACCTGCCGTGCCTCTGACGCCTCAGCCTGCCGTGCCTCTGACGCCTCAGGCTGCCGTGCCTCTGACGCCTCAGCCTGCCGTGCCTCTGACGCCTCAGGCTGCCGTTCCTCTGACGCCTCAGGCTGCCGTTCCTCTGACGCCTCAGCCTGCCGTGCCTCTGACGCCTCAGGCTGCCGTTCCTCTGACGCCTCAGCCTGCCGTGCCTCTGACGCCTCAGGCTGCCGTGCCTCTGACGCCTCAGGCTGCCGTGCCTCTGACGCCTCAGGCTGCCGTGCCTCTGACGCCTCAGGCTGCCGTGCCTCTGACGCCTCAGGCTGCCGTGCCTCTGACGCCTCAGGCTGCCGTGCCTCTGACGCCTCAGCCTGCCGTGCCTCTGGCGCCTCAGGCTGCCGTGCCTCTGGCGCCTCAGGCTGCCTACCTCACATGATCTTTCACAAACACTATGCGATTTCACCATGAATATGAAAGGGTTTATTTGCACATACATATTAATAAGTACAATCAAACACGCTATGTTTTTCTTATAAAATAGACATACTAGATAGACTCCTTCAGTGCTTATGAATTGTTCTGCTGCTTTTGATGTTTATCAGCCACTAAAGTGTTCAATTTGTTATGCCGTTGAACTTATTTCCCCTCTCTTCTCCTGTTTTGGCTGGGCCGCCTGTGAGCCCTTGTTCATTGTCTGGAATGAACACCTAAAGGCAACATGCTTACAAAATCATCAGGGACAGAATGGGCCAGGGGATGTGTGCGAGACATGAAGAAGGCTTTTCCCGCTTAGAATTAAGAGTGATTTCTCTTGCTTCATTCCTGCCTGGTTTCTTGTGGATTTAGGGATTGTAAAGACTATAATTTGGAGGCACTTCCGCCAAAAAAGAAACTTGATCTGTGCAAGGAAGAAATTATTGGGTGTCTCTGCCAAATGTAGAGAGGGCCAAACCACATGTGTGATAGTTTTATTTTCTGTGCCTAGCTTTTACTTCTGTTTCTCTTATGTCTCCGTCATTGCCACGAGTACTGCCGATTATTTCACATTTTAAAATGAGTTGTATGTCTTCAGAAAGAGAAATATTTTTAGAAGTACAGATAAGCATGAATATACAAGTTAGAAATATCTACAGGTTGAACCAGATTATGGACTCCTGACTTTTCCGTGTGTTTTATTTTTATTTTGTTTTTAAGATATATCTGTTATAATTTATTGTCGTTTATTGTGATTGTAGTAATGTGTTTTTATTACATGTACAGCACTTTGGCTCGACCAAAAATCGCTTTTAAATGTGCTATATAAATAAAACCTGATTTGATTTGATTTGATTTGATGGTTGTTTGTGTACCATGAGGCTCCATGAACATGACTCGTGCTTCTTTTGTTTTCCATGCGATGGCTTCACTCAGAATGACTCGGCAGAAATATTTCAGCTATTATCACAAGGGTGGCACATTGCTTACGTAGTGTCAGGTGTCTCCTAGCATATATACTGTATATACTAAACACAGTGAAGTATTGAAGAGGATTTTAAGTTATCTGTTTTCTTTTTCTGAGTATACATTGGTTTTCCAACAACTTAACTTGTTCACAGATTTTCAGATTCACATGTTCTGCAACAGACCTGGTGAACAGGTTTCTCAGGTTTCATTTCTTGGACAAAGGCACATTTATTTAAACGGCATATTTCAAAAGCCTGTGACCTAAGGTTTTCACCGTAGCTATGCACACATGACAATAAAAGCCTTGAAACTTGAATTCACAATGCTTTACAAATGAATAAAAGAACTATGACACGATAAGAAAAAGATGAAGTTTTGAGAGGAAATTGTGTTGGTTCTTTCAAGTTTCAACATTGTTTAACTTCTTTCTGTCTTGCAGGCGTTTTGTGCTAAATGACACCCTCTTCAGCGAGCTGGTGGAAGCGTCTCGTGACCTACCCGGCAACAGATGGGCAATAGGCGGCAATGCCCCGGTGATGGCTGGCCGCATGGCAACCGAGGGATGTGATTTATTGCTAGGGGGGAGTTTCAGCCCCGAATTCACTGATGTCCTGTCTGAACACATTACAGGTACAAATACACACACACATACAGTACACTTCTGTGCCTTCAGTGTACTAAACCGACCCGGTCTCCTTCACTTCCATGACCCTCTTCTGAACTCCCTCTGTGTTTCCAGTGGCAGGGAACGTAGTTGAGGAGCCAGACATTCATCTGATCCTGGAGTATCCGTCTGGTGCTAGCTGGGGTCAATACACGTCGCGTAGAGCCAACAGGTATGTGTTAGTGGAGCGTTCGGTACACACTTTGAGAAGCTGCAGGGAACTGTATATGTGAGAGTATTTAAACCAGAGGCACATTTATAAATCATGCACAGGAGACTGAATCTGATAGATGTTGTCAGTATCAGAACCTGTGTGTGTGTTAGATGCATGCATATGAATGTAACCCTCTGCAGTATTTGAAGCTCACTGTGCTTGCCTCTGTAGATATATCGTCCACAGCGATGACCATAACCCCTACTTGGACTCCATGGCTGCTTTTGCAGAGAAACTCAAAGGCTTTGACCCAGATCTGCTGGTGGTGGGGGGGCTGCAAATGATGGATAACTTCCCCTTCCAGTCAGGTAACAGGAATTTGGTGAATAGGGATGTAATGATATAGGATTTAGATTTTCAGAATAATTTGATTGAGGTCAGTTTTCAAACCCGCATCATTGAAAATGTCCTCGCATGAGTTACTTGAAAACAATCTCCAGCTCGCTGTCAAGCTAAAAAAGTGAAAAATACAGTCTAATTAAAAAAATAAAAAAATACAGGGATGATAAGAAAGAATAGAATCTCACAATGTTGCTTCTAAGTTCATAAAATCCATTACTTACTATCCTTACTTTGCTTTATGACTTATGTTTACTTAATTTAAGAATGTTTCATTTTTTTTTTGTTATGTCTGTGATACAAGAGAAATAGGCGTTCATTATTATTAAACATTGTTCCCCATTACTTTGTGATTGTTAATATTTGGGTACGTTTTGTCTGAATTTCTTCCCTTTCCCTTCTTTAATTTCTCGATTCCAGGTGAGCGCGAGGCTCTCCTCTCCCGCCTCGCCGACCTCCTCTCCTCCTCCTCTCCTACGATTGGAGTCCATTTTGAGATGGCCAGTTTTGTAGAAGAGGGTATAATGGAGGAACTTTTTCACTACGTCATTCCCCATGTATGTATGACTGCTGGTTTATCTTTTCAAATCAACACATTACTTAACATTGAAGGCAACTAGAACAATTACACAAACACAGGGTCGAATAAGGGAATAAGGGAAATAATGAAAAGGTAAAAGGTGTTTTGACAAATATCTCCAGGTAGTTCGAAACTGGATTTGCTTAGTCAAATGTATTGAATAGATTTCTAAACAAAATATGCCCCCCTGCATTTGTATAGTTCCCCTCTTCTTTTCTTTAATCTGTTTTGTATGATTATTTTAGTTTGCTGCCTATTTTCTTGCTGTATACGTTTACATTTAGTGCAGAAAAGTTGAAAGTTGAAGGCAGCATAGGAAGATGCACAGCTCACAGGCTGACCAGTAATCTAACTCATCACTCTGTGTTCCCAGGCCGACTCTTTAGGCATGAATGAACAGGAGCTTCCCAACCTGCTCAGCCTGCTGAAAGGCTCCAACATCACGGTGTTGTCAGACCCAAACCCTCGTGTAGCCACCGTCCTCGACCAGATGAGGGAGGTGTACCGCATCGTGAACCTCCGCTCAAAGGAAGACGGCAACACGAGCAGCGCTAAAGCGAAGCCGCTGACTCGGCTCCACGTCCACACGCTCGCCTTTCAGGCCATGATCGTGACCCACGGCTCCAAGTGGAAGAACACCATGTCGGCCACCGCCAAGGCGTCTCTCACGGCTAACCGCCACGTCTGCGGCTCCGATGACATCGACCCCAGCAAGGCCCGGCTCATCATGGACGACTCGTTCTCTGTGAGCCAGCGGGAGGGCAGCGTGCGGATCCCTCTGCAGGAGAGCCGGCCCGTCAGCTGCTGGGACGAGGACGACTACGAGATCTGCGTGGCGCCGGTGCTCGTGTGCACCGAGGTTTACCAAACTGCAGGCGGAGGAGACAACATCTCAGCCGCCGGCCTGGTGCTGCAGATCTAGAGAAGGACACTGTGTGCTTTATCTGTGTTTAGTGCTCTGTGAGCCTGGACACTTGATCTAGGTGTGATACAAAGTACCCAGCAAACATGGGTACTGATTGTAAAATGTTTCAGGCTTATGTTGTCGCCCTGGCAGCTCCTGGTGGACCAATAAGAAAAGTGAATATCAGTTGTAGGAGTCGCATGATGGGTTCAGTGGTTATTAATCAGGTACCTGATTTCAAATGTATGAGCCTGGTTGTTAGGGGGATGCAGATAAAAACAGGTGAAGTCAAACATTACAGTTTAGTAAATTGACTGATCCAAACCAGACGATCTGCAGTTAATTCTCAGTTAGGTGTGTGTGAGTTTACATTAGGTTGGAGGGCACTATCGCTAGTTTCGTGTTTCTTTTATTAACGTTGGGTACATATATTAATATTTGTACAGTGCAAAGCCCTTTGGCATCCAGATTATTTGTTATAACTAAAATTTTAAAACACACACTGCCCTGCTCTGTCCTTTTTTATAATTCAGCACATCCAACGTCTCAGTTAAGTCATCGCTGCCCATCATCTGACTCCTGTCCTACTCTACTTCCCAAAGGCCTTACAAGACTAGAACTTCAGTCCTGATGAGATAAGGAGTGATGAGGTTCTGGTTCAGTCCATAAAAAAACAAGTTTTGTTTCGGATTGGAGCTGATAAAGCTACAAACTTAAACTTAGCTCTTTTTCTTGTGTTATTGAAACATGTGACTTCACTATGCAACAGACTTATCCAGAGTTGTGTAAATCTCCTGTTTCTTGGAAGCACTTTTTTCAGATGTCTCCTCCTTAAAATCCACATTTCCAACCTGTAAACGGGGCTTTGACCGCCCCTGCCTTGCAGCTTACGCAGTTTCAAAATAAGGCTGAAAAGTGAGCTTAAAGGGGAAAGTTGTGAAAAACACACTATCTGTGCATTTGGGTATCTTGAGTTTTGAGAGTTTTTGTGTCCTTCCTACATCAGAACACAAAGACTCAACAAGCCCTCTATATGTGGCTCCACTTCTTACACTGAAACAGGCTCATTAGAATAAACCTGCCCTAATGTATACCATAACGCATGTAAAGATGCTCTATTGGAAACTCCTATCTTAGGATTTGAAATCAGAAAGCTAGAGAGGTGATCACCTCCTGTTCTTCCTAATATATGTGAAAATGTGAATACTGGTTTGGGTGTGTTTGATTTGTTGTTGATTGTGATTCTTATGTTGCAAAAACTAGACCACTTTTGGTAGCTGGATATGATGTCAAAGACCTCCTTTCTACCTCCATGCTATTTATGTTTCTCCACTTTCCTCTCTTCAGTGTACTTTGACAAACTTTTCTATCATCTTTCATTTATCTTCTTGTGTTTATTTATGTTTTTAAGGACCAAATAACCAGTGTGGACTGCCCCTGATAACGTTGCTGCTAAAGAGGCATCACTGGTAGACACTTCTCATGTTCTCATATTATAATGCTGCATACAGTGACCGTCTATAGTGTAACTCACCATGAATCCCCTTTACCCCCATTGGCCTAAATAGAAGTGGCCCCTGTCTCTAATTGGCCTTAAACGTATACAGAGTAGAAATCCCTTTCCTTTGAAACCATATCTGACTGAAATGGGAATAACGGTTCACACTGTATCCATATAAAACATTCCTCCACAGACCAAGCTTCAATAAGTATCTTCACAAGTGGAATATTTTCTTTCTATACAAACATGCTCCCCTTTTCACTGAGGAACACGCATATTCATGTTACAGTGCAACGATTAGGAGCTAAAGAAACCAGTCGACGTGTTTCCTCTGTATGTCAGCACTGTACTCGTGAATGCTGTTTTATTTATGCTAAACGGTAAATGAGCCTTATTCTGTTTGACCTTTGGTGTTTAGTGATAAGGGAATGTTTAATACAGACTTTTTCTATACCTGCAGGCTTATGTTTCATTTCCTTTGTCTTGTGTTTCATTTCCTTTGTCTTGATTGATTTGAAGATGAATAATGGGTCACGTTTTTACTGTGAAATGAATTTGTTTAAAGCAGAACTTCAGCATGCATTCATGTTCAGATAGAAAACTGCTTGTGTTTGCTAACATATCATGTCTTGGCTTTAGATACGTCCTGTCATCCAAAGCTGTGTGTAACCTTGTAATGCATGTTAACTATTCAATGCTGAACCACTTAAGATAAAACGCTGATAAAGCACTCGTTGCTTTGTTATTTGTTCATACCTGGGCTCATGTTTCACGTCCATCTTGGCTCAAACAGCCTGCAGTTTAAAACAATACTGTGGACAAGCTATCACTTGATTTGTAATTTATTTATTTTTAAACTCGAGGAATAGGATTTACAATAAGTGGGATCGTCACGTCATGTCATGGCTTCTTCGTCTCTCTTAACACTCCAACATTAAGCACATTTCATGTTTCATTTTGTCCATTGGCTGCACATGCTATCTGAACATCTTGTTGAAGGAATATATGACCTCCTCCTTATCATACCACTACTGGGCCTAGATGTAATCAGCTAATAAGGAATCTGCAGCTTGAGAAGGGTTTGGAAAAACACCATTCTTTTTATTAGATGTCGTTTGACAGTATTTGCAGGTCTCCTTGACTATTTAAAATTATTCTTACAGATGTGAAAAACATAAGGACTGAACTGCCTTTACTGCAGAGTATATACTTAAGAACTCACTTAGCAGCGTCAGGCACATGAGAGCAAGTTTTAAAAGAAGTGGCATACATTACATTTAAAGAAGTCTGATGTTTGATTTCCTATGGAGGAAAAACAGATGAATGATTAATAAGTGTACCGTGGTCGTCTTTGCAGATTTGAACACACAACTCAACTGTGAAATACAGCCTCATATCTATCAAATATAAAAGCAATTTCAAGACTTGTTCAAGTGACAGGTCATTCTTTTGGTTTTAAACAACTTCCCGATTGTGGAATCAGACTTAAAGAATATATGATGGTGCCAATCTAATCTCCCTGGAAAACGTTCGACCTCACTATTTACCTAAAGTTACACGTAAAGACTGAGGATTGTGGTGCTGAGCTCACTGAGAGATGTGTTAGGACTTGTTTGATTCACCTGGCTGCAGAAAAACGAGCCAGATGTGCGATTTCCCTCATAAATTGAAATGTCATTTGGTAGGCTATATACCATTTTACAAAAAAAATGAAATGTGTCAGTTAATTTTCCTATAAAAAGACCTTATCTTGTTCTTACAAGTTCAACACATCTTAGTAACTGGAGACAGAATTTAAAAAGCAGACAATATATGAAATGTTTGCTTTATTTTTTAATCTGTATGAATTCATAAATGGTTAAAACGAGAACATTTGAACAAGTTGGAAACCCTTTCATACTGCAAACACATGTCAAGTTTTCAGATAGAGACTTTGCATTGCAGCTAATAACTAATGTCATTTTAATGGGGACTTTCTAACTTCCCAACCTTTACTGATTTGATGGTTTCCAACTCCTTCAGGCACATTACATCTTCAAAAGTAAACGCTTACTAGATGTATACTAGTGCATAAAAAGAAAATGGAGACTTGACATAATATGGTGCTTTTCTCCATCAAAATGGCCGAATTTTATTCAGTAAATTAACTAATCATTGCGAAATTCCCAAGGAAGAGCGGATTTAATTTCATGGCACATCAGTGTGTCTTAGCATATTGCCAAACAGTAGTAAAAGAGAGCAGTGTAACTAAATAACAGTCCTGGTGGCTCAGTCATAGTAAGGCCAATCAGTGTGAACATGAACAAACTGTTGCTCTAAAGACAAACACATTAACATTAAAAACATGCTCCTTCTTTCAGGTATGATAGAAAATGCTTAATACATACAAGTGAATAAAACAAAATTCACATCTTGTGCTTTCCAAATTATTTAAAAAAGATGGCCAACTGTTTCACTTGCATGTAGAATAAAATCATAAGTACTTTGCCTAATAGGGATTCTGTTTTACTAATATAAATAATATTGCTTTTTTTAAATGTAGTCATTTTCTCCCTTTTCCAGCTTTTTATAAGTCATTGTTTCTCGCTGTAGAAAACAAATACAGTGAGAGGGAACTTTTCAATACATTCCTCATTGAAGAGATTTCAGATTCTGATCTCCTCATTAATCAGCCATCTACGTGTAAATCCTCAATTGAATTAGAAAGTGTAATCGAGAATTGTAATCAAGATAAAGATCATTTGTAGGGATAAAGATTCAGAAGTCCTCTCAGCGGAAATGTGGTATTTTTTCAACAGAAATCTTGCGGTCCACAGTTTGTGTGTTCACATCTCTGGTTGTCCCTGATGAACGGGGACTTTGTGGTCCTGCCCACGTTCTGCAGCTGGGGCTTCTGGGATTTGTTGTCCTTGCTGTTTTTCCACTTGATTTATGAGCTCCTCTTCTTCTGTCTTTACTTCCTGTTGAGGTTTGTCTTCATCTTGAAGCTGCACCTCCTGCTGAGCCTCCTCCCTCTGTTCTGCTCCTCCTGCCTCCTCGTCAGTCCCGTGGTTTGACAGCTTCTCCTCGGCTGCTTTGTTGTTGCTGGAGTCCTGTGGTGGAAATGTGAGTTAATGTTGCATTATTTTAATTTTAATTATACTGTGAATTTTTCAAAACATGTATCAAACAAGCGTGTGATCTTTAAAGTCTATAAGTTAATTATAATAAAAACCTGAGACAATATTCAAAAAGCTGAAAAAAGCACTTTTTGCTTTGTTTGCATGAAAAATAACTTACATTATAAAAGTAGTTGGAAATTATTTGTCTATGGATTAACTAATCGACTAGTCCACTGATCAAGGCAGCTGTCATTTATTTGTTAATTTCCGGAAAAACTGAAAAAACATAACCTTAAATCATGAAAATATATTTTCAGTATACTCCCTTAGTTACAATTAAGTTTATTGAATTGTGTCCACTTAAGTACTTACTCTCTTGCCTTGTCAGTATCTTGGAGGCAATGATCATGACGTTGCATGAGAAACAAGTGTGTGACTGTGCAGTACCTGTGTGTGAGGTAATGAAGGAGACAGCAGCTCCGACGGGGCCAACAGGCCGTCCTGGTTTAGATCGTGAGCCTGGAGTAAAAAGTCTACCATAGACACCACCTGTACTCACACACACACACACACACACACACACACACACACACACACACACACACACACACACACACACACACACACACACACACACACACACACACACACACACACACACACACACACACACACACACACACACACACACACACACACACACACACACACACACACACACACACACACAGGTCAGATAAACAGGCTAAAAAGTATGAAAGTGGTATATGTACAAGTAGACAGGCTCTCCTCCTCACCAGCACATTGGTCTTTGCTCCAGGTGTATGATGGGAGTTGTAGTCTGAGAGTAGTTTCATCATCTCCAAGCCATCCAGGAGCTCACTGCGGTCGAAGTCATAAAGACCAAACAGGAAGAAAACCTCTGAGGCAAAGCAGGAGAGAACTGACTGTTATTACCAAACACACACGTGATATCCTCTGCAGTTATACAACTCAAACTGTGTATACACAAACACAACTTCAATAACCTTTATATGGTGGTTTTGGACACTTTGTAATCTCTGCTCATCATATAATTTTGTTTAGATTAATCTAATAATCATTTCTTTAAAGTCTTGTGTCACTCAAGTCACTCACCCATATTTTCAAAACAGTATGTTCTGACATTTTTGCATGAAAAATAACTTAAACAACTAATTGATTTTAAAAACAGTTGTCAGTTATCTTCAGTCGACTAAATATTGCAGCTCTACCCGATAGATTTTCAGTTGTATTATAAAAAAGTATTTATATGTGGTAATGATGATGAGCGTTACACACAATGTGGGATTGTCTACCTTGCTCCCAGGTGCTGATTTCGGGTCCTCCTTGGCTGTCCTTCAGACTGGATTGAATGTAACTTTGCAGCAATCTGTGCAAAGAGTGGACGTCAATTTATCAGTCAATTATTAAGAGACAAACTTTAACACTGAGGGGACAGATTGGTTCAACCCTAACTCTTTGCAAGTGAGATCACAATATTATTGTTATTTCTGTTGTTGTTGTTATAATGTTTTATGTGTTCCTATTGAGTCTTTCAGACTTTGTTTGTTTATATGGAAAAGAAGAGCAGCAATACCATGTTTCGTTCTCTTAAAAATTATGCTCACAGTAGAAACATTTTAAACAACACATATGCAGCAACTCTCCCAGTCGAAGAGGGCAGAATGTGTGGGTACTGGTTGTAGAATAAGTCGTAAACACACTGCCTAAGTACCTAAAACAAACCCACTTAAAAGAAAACGGAACTGGTTATCTTTCTCTTTGCTCCTCAATTAAATCAAACCTGTGACTCCTTATTGGTCAGTTCAGACCAGTGGTTCCCAACCTGGGGGGCGCGCCCAGAAGATCGCAGGGGGGGCGCCAGGCCTCAGATGATTTGAGGCCAAATATCATATTTAGACTTTTATTTATTTATTTTTTTACATATAATTGTAACGCAATACATGATTGTCACTAAAAGCCTTGTCTCTACATTACAATAACATATACAAAATAATTGATTAATGAATTTTAATAAAAATTCAAGTTAGTAGCTATTATAGGCATAACAAGACAGAAATGTATAATTCTTTCTTTAATAGAAATGTTTCTTCTGCCCGTAAAGTGTCCAAACCAGGCTTTTCTGGATAAGCGCATTTTTAAAACATAGTCATTGTCCATGCCGGTTTCAGATTATTTGTCACAGTTGCTCCGATCAGATCGGTCTCCTCCATTTTGTAGATTATTTACGACTTTTGAATCCACATAAACGGCAAAATCCGGCTTACTTTGAGCATGTGTTTCAAACAGTTTAATCCCTTTGTGAATTGTTTCCACTTGCGCCGTCCTTTAATTTCTTCATACAGCAAGGCAAGGCAATTTTATTTATATAGCACTTTTCAGCACGTGGCGATAGAGCGGGAATCCAAATTAATTAATCCTGAGTCCAATAACCATCAAAGTCACTCCAATATTGCTCCTTAATTACGCTTTCATCCTCCTTTAACAAAATACTTCACATTCATCCAGTTTGTGACAGTAATTGTAGCATTTTTGAGACTTTTAAACTTTAATTACTGCTGTTGCGCCCCCCCCCCCCTTGTGTGTGTGTGGGGGGGCGCAACTTCCAACAGGAGTCATTTGGGGGGGCTCTTGGGAAAAAAGGTTGGGAACCCCTGGTTCAGACTACTGTACAGGGTAAGACATTGTATTTGTAACGTATGTGACCTGTCACCTACATTATCTCCATAAACACAAAGTATTTCATAATGACAGCATAAAGCAGTGTTATTGCACATGTGATCTTATCAGTTTATGGTGCAGGCCACATCATTAGCACAACACAGCAGCCGAAGTCCACAGAGTGACAAGACAGCAGCTACAGTCCACAAAAGCTGACTGCAGGTTCAACACATTTGGATCAGTCACACTAATGAAGATTAGCGCAAGTTCAACCAGGAAGACCGTCTTCAGTCATTCATTCACATATTCCCAGTTTACTACTCTCTCTCCTCTCAATCAGTGATCGGGGGCGTCACTCCCCAGCTACACCTATCCCTTCACCTCTATTCCCACAAGCCTATCATTGTGCATTGCTAAACCTTTAAATCTGCTCTCTCCCCTTCCTCACAGTTGTCATTTCAGGTGAGTGAACGCAGCCCTCCTCAACCCCTTCCACCTTCCTTTCTTCCAAATCCAGGGTCAAGCTTAAACCCCTCCTCTTCAGACCGACCTCCATCAATCCCTTCCCACCTTCACCACCACCGCCAGTGTCTAGACCCCAGGGGGGGATTCATCGGGTCGGTGTTTCCCCTCCCGAATGATACTCCCGCACAACGGGGTCTAATCGCCAAACACCATTACATGCATCTGTGTATTCCCGGCAATAAATATATATTGTTACGTCAAAAAAACGTCTCTCCTGATTGAACTATGAGCAATGCATGACTGTTCATATATTTCAGCTACGGGAGATATATTAAATCATCCTCTGATAACGTTTTACTTTCAAGCTGCATTTGAAGTGACATACTAAAGGAACGTTCTTCTTTCTACTTAGAGACGACATCAATCCCTACCTTTATAAGAAAGCACTTAATAGACTTATAATTAAAAAGTGTATCGTATGTGTGTGAAATATCATCATCTTGTTTCACTCACCTGCGGTCCTCTTCTCCAGAGCCAAAGGGATTGGCAAGCGCTGCTGAAGGGGGGCGGGCCTCGACTGCTTCCTGCCTGAAAGACAAACAAATAAAGATGCAAATAAATGTTTTCTGTTTCCCTTTGCTGGCATTAAAAACAGAAACATTCATCATTTGTCACGTCAAAGGTCTGCTTCAAATAACCAGCGTCATATATAAAGGTGTCCATTCTGATATTGCAACCCACCCCCATATTGTGCAAATGTAAGTCTTTTGACCATAAAATAGTGACAAATTGAAAATGTAGACATGAAAATATATTGTATTATATATACTTGAAAGACACAACATGTTCTGTTTTGGTATGTGTGAAAAAAGGCAACATTTTGTAGTAAGAAGATGGAGTAACCTTTGTGTCGCAGGTTGACCCGGTGCAGCCTGGCTCAGGTGAGTGAGCAGCAGGAACAGAGACAGGACACACAGGGTCGTCCTGCCCAGGTGAGACTCCATGAACACACCTACAACACACAGCCAGGTTATAACCTCATCACATCTGCACAGAATACAGTCATAAGATACCATCAGGAATGTGTCTGCTCAAAAGTCATAGATTTACTGAAAAACATGACCAGAATTAATTGATGGTTGGAAAAGAAACACTAAAATATACAAATACTCCTTCTTTAAGACATCAGAAGTGATGGTTTCATGATGCTGTACAAAGTGTAATATCCCCATGGCTAATGCTAATGGCTATTTGCCGAAATACTTGTATACTCTTAATCTCATAGTCAATTGTGTTATTAGTTGTGTCAACTGTTCTATCTACATGTATCACCTACTATACTCCCTACCAACAGAAACCACTCATTACATAAATGTTTAACTGTGTTACAATCCTGCAGACTTTTCAAGACACATCTATTTTCAGCTCAGCACACTCTGTCAGTGAGTATGTCCATGCGTCTACAGTGAGAGATGCAAAGGTAAATGATGGCTAGGGATGTGTAACCTTGCCCACAGTAAGTGGTTTTATCCCCATAATAAAAAGAATAGTAACAATAATAATAACAAATATCACTAATAAACATTATTTACTAAGCAATTTTCATCCAGAACAAGAAGAAGAAGAACAAGAACAACAAGAACAACAAGAACAACAAGAACAACAAGAACATCAAGAACAAGAAGAAATCAATTTGTTAAAAATATTTGTACAAAGCCTGCATCTCTTACAGCTTATGAAGTATTCTCTATTTTGGACCACGTGTAAAATAAAAACCTTCCCAACCAATTGACATGACCCTGTGTGACAAACCGGCTAACGTTGCTGCTTCTATGTGAAGTAGCAGTGATGCTAACAAAGCGAGGCTCACACTCCTCTCCCCTCACTGCAGCATTATCACAGCCTGAAGTGGAGCACAGTAACATACTACACACTGAAGATCTCTTATAAACTGTTATTGTCTTCCTGCTTTGACGTTACAGCCCTGAATTAAGTACAACATAAAATAAAAGCTATGTGTATCAGTGAAAGAGAGTACGCATAATAAAATGTAGCCTACATTACATTTAAAAGAGCTGAAGTAACATACGCGTATGGAAACCCTCATTTAGTGATGTTAATCATTCTGATAAACACAAGCTGTGCTACTTTAAATCTCTGTTCAGTCATTGAGAACTTACCTGTCTGCATAGTTGATGAACGGTAAAGCTTTAGTCCGGGCATGTTAAAGGTTCACATCTGGAAACCTCTGCCCTGCACCGCCCTGCTTGCGCGCCTCCCGGTCTGCACTGCGCAAGTGTTTTGGTCAATGACAGAGGCCACGTGGAACAACAGTCGTGTCAGCGAGTGTGCGCAGGACCCTCTTTGTGCTCCTTTGTATATTCAGTCTCCAGTATATTCAGTACCTCTCCGGGGTTTCCGCCGCGCCACGTCCTCACCGACACACAGATTCCGGTAGTGCGCGAGGAGCGTTTTAGAGTGCTCACAGCTGTGGTTCACATTCAGTCTGAGAGCTGTAGTGCAGCTACAGAGGAGGAGAGCAACTGAGTGGGTTTATTATAGTACTGTAGGCTGCGTCTTAAGTACTGAGATAGGCAACTTGTAATTTACTTTTTCTTTATTCTGCTACTTATTTTTGCTACACTACTGAGGCAAATATTGTTCACTATACTCCACACCATACAGTATATTTGAGAAACTTTATTAGCTATTTAAAAATACAAAATGTAATCACATACAATACTAAAAATAATAACATAACGATAATAATATAATGATGATAATAATAACTCGAATAAAACTAATAATAATAATAATAATAATATTAATGTCACGTACCAAAGAAATGGTGAAATATATCGTATCATGTGAAATTAATAAAATATTTAAAATTCACAAACAGTTCAATTAAAATTGTTTAAAACGTATGTGCAAAAATAAGAACTCCATATACTACTTTAAGAGAGGGCAAACAATGTAATATTGCAAATACAAACGCCTAATTGGTAATCCAGTGTGTGCCATGAAGTATTTCTCTCTTTCTTTCACAGGTACACTCAAAGCAACAGTATGCACCGCACGTTCTTCACCACAAGATGTCCCTGTAACTCTGATTTATCCTGATGGGCACTGTACTAACATAGTCACATCTGCAGAACACGAATGTAGTCGATTAAAAAACACGTTATTTATTAACTCTTAACTTTACTTTGTCACAAAAACATAACAAATGGTTGTCTTTTCCTCTAGTCCAAGTTGTTTATTCAGAATGATGTACTAAAGTAATTATTCCACTTAGAGTTTCCTACACATAGAGATTAAATTAAATGAAAACTTTTAATAATATTGTTAATTTGGATGTTTACAAAACGTTTGACATGTTTCAATATTTCCTTTGACTCCCTTCTTAAGTTAAAATTGCTCAACTAAAGATAAACACACACACACACACACACACACACACTCACACACACGCACACACACACACACACACACACACACACACACACACACACACACACACACACACACACACACACACACACACACACACACACACACACACACACACACACACACACGCATGGTAAATCACCCAGTATTATGTCATGCTGATGTCCCACTGGCTCCCAGGGTGTCTTCCTTTGATCACACAGCACTGATGATGAATGTTTTGACACATTTAAGATCTCTTCATTGGTCCCAAAGGGGACATTTTACTTTACCAACCTCGTGCTGCTGTCTCCAAACACTGAAACAGTGGGAAATGCAGGTCTCTTTTCAAAGGTTTTAAAGAGAAGCTCATTGTTCTTACTATATAAACTATGTTACAAAAACTGTCAAAGTATGAATAATGCATGTCACAAAAAAGTAATAAAAAGTATACAGCAGCCTCTCTCATAACTGACATTGACATACAATGATATTTTTTTGTGGACGAGTATTTCTTTAAGGGAAAACTGAGTAAATTCAATATTTCAAAAATAAAATGCTTTATGTGATAAATAATGCTTGCCTTCTTCAAAAATAAAACTCATCATGTAAATAGGGTAAAATGTTCAAGTCTCAAACATGGAATAACAGACACACACACAGATTAAAACTCATGTTAACAATTACTGGATAATCTCCCTTCCTGTGAACGTTAGTAGGATGTTTGTGTGCTGTGAAATAATGAACTGACCGTGCTCAACCACTCAGTGAGTCACACATGGAGATGATTGTGTGACTTTGATCTGGTTCATGCGGGTTATGAAGGTGTGACTATTCTTTCCCACTCACAGGTCTCAGATCTTACAGGGAAAGGACAAACACTTCCCTCCTTGACACAAATGTGTGTGCAGCCGCCGGTCTGAAGTCAGTTTCCCTGCATCTTCATTGATTACATTTCCACTAGTTTTTGACAGACTATTAATTTCTCATGTTTAATATAACACGCTTTAAACATTGATCTATATGTTCATATGGGTTGGTAAGTGGGGCATTCTACCGAATTAGTACAAAGTGTGGTCCCACAATAAGAAAAACTATTTAACAAAACAATTAAGTATTCAGACATAGATATTTAATAAAAATATGTTATGGTCTATTTAAACACAAGGCATTACATTAAATAGTGATAAGCTTAATATATACAAAAACATCATTTATAGGGTACTTAGTACTAGGGTATTTAGCTGTCCCCAACCCTGACATCTAAATTTCAATTTCTGTAAATAACATTTTTTTAAATGTTGTTCAATTTAGAAGATCTTTATGATTATTTAGATTTATTGTGGGTATCCTTTTTTAATAAAAAAACTATACTCAAAAAATCATGTACCCAGTTTTCATGTCACTACCGAAACACAAGGGCTGAGCTTGGTTTTTAGCCACACCCCTGCATTTTTGACAAGGCAGTGACACTGTATCCCTGTCCCTCATGGCTGAATGGCAAGTAGCTATATCCCATACTTTTGATATAAATCTGTTCCAAAATCTGAAAATCGGCATGTAACCTTAAGAATTGTCACTACCGAACACATATTATCTTCAATTAAGTAAACTTTTTCGTGGTTTTATGCAAAGTATTAGGTTTTTATGTGTGTAAACCTCTTCAAAAACGTGTATGCTAGCCATGCACTTGCTAGCATTTTTTAGTTATGCTCAATTTTAGCTAGAATCGTCACTACCGAAACATATGATTACGTTTCGGTAATTGACATGATCGTTGCGGTAGTGACAAAATGGAATGGTAAGCAGGTAAATCCCACCATTTTGAAATAAATGTGTTTTAAAGTCTGAAAATCAGTGTGTTACTCTAAAGGTCTCTTATTATTCTATTATTAGGCATATATTATAGGTCTCGGATATATATAAAACATGTCTATGAAGTGTTTTGCTCAAAATACCAAACAGATCACCCATTCTAGCCTCATCCCCCTCTATTTCAGCCTGTTACTAAAGTGCTGATTCTGGGTCAGTAGCTTCAAACATTCACACTTCAACACAAGGCATGTTATGAGTTAAGATTAAGCAATAAGGTTGACGGAATATGATACAACCTTGACTGATTTTAAATGCCATTTTCTTAATGTCTTCCATTTTTGTAAAGCACTTTGAATTGCCTTGTGTTGAAAGGTGCTATATAAATAAACTTGCCTTGCCTTGCCTTCCCTTGAGAACAAAATACTGTGGTCACTACCGAAACACTGGATGTTTTATAAAAAATTAAGTATATTGAGTTATCAACTAAAATGATATGATACTGATTGGTTTAATGTATGTTCAATTTCAACAATCATCAACTCTGGAATCAATATGATCAGCATTATGCCTTTTACAAAGAAAAATTGCATTGTGATTTTTATGAATTGTATAAATTGAACTTTGACATTTTATTAAAAATGCACTTTTATTAATTTAATTGTGAAAACCCTCAAGAAATATTTGTTAAAATACTATTTAGAGAAGGGAAGGTAAAACAATCTTAACAGGTTAATATAATACTTTTTTACTACAGTGTATGTACTATGTTTCGGTAGTGACCATTTTTGGTAGAGGAACATTGGACATTCCAATACAGTCTGAAAATAGGATATAAAAATGTACGGTTCTTTTACTAGATATGTGTAATTTAGATATGGTACAAAATATATATGGACAAAGTTTTGGGGAAAAAACATACAACATTTATTTCCAACCTGACTTTGGTCCAATTTGGTAGAATGGCCCATATACACTGACAGTCACTTCTAATAGAACAATTACATTACTTCAGCAATGAGTAACTTCCAAATGGAATATACATATATTTATAAAGACATTTTGCATAGAACTGATTTTGAAAATACTTCAAAATTTCAAATCATGAGTTCAGCTGTGCTTGCAAAAGCTGATCTGAACATCATACTGCTGTAAACACAGGTTTATAGCTAAAGAACCACTTTATATAAAACAAGATAAAATAACTTTCATACTATGAAATCAATCACTGCTTAACAAATACCACTATTGTTGACGCAACAGAATTAGTTTTCCCTCTTTGAAATAAATTAATAAATAGTTCAAATTAACATTTAGCTAACAGTCCCTGGCACTGTATAAGTAAAATATAATTTGTGTATAAATGGATTAGCAGCATGTTTCAATTCAACAAGCCTTCATCAGGGTGTTGAGTGCAATGAAAATATAAATTAGATTTAAGTCCTGGGTTGCAGTCGAATAGTCCAAAAATCAGCTCCTAACGTCTATCCCTATCGTCTATTCCTTAAGGGATAGTGGATAGGAGAATTCAAAAGGATTTAGGAGAAGAGACTGCGGTACTTTAGAGAATCCGACTGCACTTTCACTAACCAACGTGTTTATGATGCGCCAGCGGACGTCATTAATGTGCGTCTGCTGCTGTAGGGAAACTATGGAAACTACAGTTTTCTATACAGCGGACTACAACATGGATGTTTAAGAACGAGGGACTACTGTAAACTCATCTAGAGACTCTGCACCGCGCTCTGATGCTGTTGCTTTATGCTTTTGGACGTGGACAACAGAGAAACATATTCTTCATGACCAAAGTTGGAATTGAAATAAAAAAGGAAAGTTAAACTTATGCTCGTCACCCTCTCCCTCCGGTCCACATTAATACAAATGATCCCAATACGTATGATTGTATGAAAAGATCTTAAAATCAATACAAATGTATTTATTGTAAACGTTAGTCCTTAACATCTATCACTGTGTATATCACCATTCAAACATCTTTTAAAAGTTGAACAAACCCCACACAGCTCAGTAAAGACTGTGAAATGTTGACTTTATTTGATAATTTCAGTAAAAACTAACGTTCATATTTCTCTTTTTGATTATAATACTGATGAACGTTCAAAACAAAGCACTTTGGCAACTTACCACATACGTTTTAAAAAGCTTAATAAGCACCGTAACTTTCATGATATCATTTCTCGGTCATAATCGGTTGTTTCCGTGAACGGCCGACTGTTGTGTGACGGCAAATGCTGCGGCTGCAAGGCATTGTGGGGCAGCATTTTCTCCTCTCCTTTCGTAAAGGGAGGTCCAGTGGTTCCTAAGCTAAAGGAGGTTATAAAGGAAGTTTGAAACCTCCTTTCCTTTTAATTTAGAGAATTCGAACGGCACTTATCATGGCTGCCACTGAGGGACTTCCGGGTCATTTCACTCCGTTAGGAAGGTTCCTAAGCTAAATGGACTATTCGACTTCAGCCCTGGTCTTCTACATGGACAACATTCTTTGTGACAACAATATTTAACATGCTGGTACTAAAATGCATGCAACTTAATGTTTGGAATCAGTTGTTTGAGATGAACCCCAGCGGCACTTTTGACCGCAGCCGGTGGAAACCACATTTTACTGTTAGTACAAGTCAAAATGAAAACGGCGGCCACTTAACTTACGAAGGTCTTACAGGAATGTGAGGTGACATGGAATTAGTAGTGATACTGTCCTTCAACCACACAGTTTCAAACAGATGGAGTTCTCCTCTGGAATCAACAAATATCCCAACATGAAAAGATCAGGGATGTTTGAACTGACCTTCTGCCGCACTCAACTGGTATAGATTACACTGTGTGTGTGTGTGTGTGTGTGTGTGTGTGTGTGTGTGTGTGTGTGTGTGTGTGTGTGTGTGTGTGTGTGTGTGTGTGTGTGTGTGTGTGTGTGTGTGTGTGTGTGTGTGTGTGTGTGTGTGTGTGTGTGTGTGTGTGTGCGTTGGTCTGTGCAGTTCTACTGGTAATAGTCCAATCATCTGGGTGAGTAAAACTCAAACACATCTGTACAAACAAACAAACACACACACACACACACACTGATTGCACTGTGTTGTGAACAAATCTCTTCTTATTTCAAACTATTTCTTCTGCTATGCGGCTTCTATCTCAATTTCACTTTACAATCCTTTTCCTGCGCACCCTTTTTGTTTCCATTTCTTCTTACCCCATGCAGTTTCTCTGTTACTCTATTCTCTCACCACTGCTTTTCACCCCTCAATCCAATCTTTAACAACTGAAATGAGACTACAAACGTTAGTTATGTGTGTTTTTGTGTGTTTGTATTTCATGGTATTGCATTTCATTTAGAAAACACTTTGCCTTCTCACGCACAGCAGGCCAACAGGTGCCAGTTTGACGCAGACATGATGCAGAAAATTGGACCGTTGGGCAGCGACTCACAGATCACACCACACAGAATGTGCTGTTATTGTTAACACGAGTCTCCTGTAGCCCCGACTGTGTTTGTGCTGTGGTTAAATAGAAACACCAGAGTAACCAGCATAATTAGTCTGACCATGCTGTGGGACAATATGGCTTCCAGTCACAGATGCTTGTGTACTGTCGAAGGCAATAAGTCAGTGGTCACTTACAGTTAGCCGTGAAGCTTCCCGTTCATTTTCAAAAATGTTTGAATTTTGTGCCACATTTAACTGCACCCACCATACAGCAGCTCCAAAAAGCAGCAACAACATGTAACATAATGTACGTTCACCTTTAACATCTCCAGCTGTAAACTACGAATGGTATTTTCCGATGGCTGTTCCCGTTTCCCAGCAGCATGTCATGCAACTGCATGGCTGTGTATGTTTTTAGCATAGCCCAACTGCATTCATATGCATACTCGCACAAGTCTGTACATTGGACACATACCCCCTGCACACACACACACACACACACACACACACACACACACACACACACACACACACACACACACACACACACACACACACACACACACACACACACACACACACACACACACACACACACACACACACACACACACACACACACACACACACACACACACACACACACACACACACGGTTCCTATACAGAAGCCCTTATGTAACAAGGATTAGGTTCCACTGTCTCCTGGCCCCAACAGTCAAAACTATGCAAACTATTTTTAACCCTTGACCTCAATATAATATCAACAGACGCTTACCGTAGTAATGGCAATATTAACGGCCTCAAATAACAACAGCAACAGCCATTGTCCCTTCATCGACACATCTGAGGCCGCAACTCAAAGCTTTGGAACTATTTTAAGACCCTCAGTGAGTCTGACTATAAGTATTAGAGCTGAAGCTTTTTGCTTAGTCATAGTAAACAATCAATATGAGCCCACAGAACAATAACAAGTGTTGAAAAGTAGTGATGTTAGCTTGAGTGCCACAGTCATGCTACATAGTTTACGTTATAATGTGGGAAGTGAGAGTAATAATGCTTGTAAATTGAAAACAAAGATCGATGTTGGATGGATGCATGTAGAGAACATGACATTGAAATACAAATGTCTTCACTGGGCTCAACGTCTTTCAAGTTTTCACAACTTGTAAGTTGAAAACAGGCAGCTAAACCATGGGAACATTTTTGTATTTTTAAGTCAATGGTTTTCATTTACAAGAAGAAACTTTATTTTTGCAAGATTGGATCAACCTCATTGCAGCACAGACACTGCAGGTAAACACACACACATTAGTGAGGAGTTGCTACGAACATGACTTCATCATTTAAATCGTTTTTTTTTCTGAATACGCCCGATGTCAGGACTCTTATGATAATGTGGTGAGACTGGGCTAAAATCAAGAGTATTTCCTTCTTGCTAATTATGAATCCAAAGTATAATTGGATTATAAGGTAATCTACTGCAGGCATGATACGTTTTAATTTGGGAAATTCTCAGTTTTTCTCTGAACATTATCCCCCTCCACTAGCTAGATAATTGTCATTGTTATTTTTTTACCTACAATGACCATAATAGGACATTGTAGTACAACAGCTAATACAACCTTCGTGACAAGGAGAACATGTAGTAAAGAAAACATGTTAGGTTCTGTTGACTCCAGTTGGGACAAAGTGTGTCCTTTTAGCAAAAAGTTTTGCTTGACCTGCAACTTACACACACAAACACACACACACACACACACACACGCTTCCGTACGAGTTTGTTTGAAATAGTTGCTGTCACATTCCACAAGCCAAGTCCTCGGGGTTCAGGTCATTACAACTGGAAAACCAGGGGAAGCACTAAGTCTATTAGTGGCACACTGACACACACACACACACACACACACACACACACACACACACACACACACACACACACACACACACACACACACACACACACACCCACCCACACACACACACACACACACACAAAGAGAGAGCAGCTTCTACTAGACTGACGGAGAGAGGATGTTTCTCTAGCACCCTGGCAACACATACTGTATACTGTACTTCTTCACACACACACACACACACACACACACACACACACACACACACACACACACACACACACACACACACACACACACACACGAGAGGGCAGTTCCGCTCCACGGTCACTTAATTGCAGGCTTATGTCCAGCATTTCTCCACAGGAATCTGAGGGGGCACCACACTGTCAGGACCAATGACCTGTTAGAGAAACCCTGCTGATCAAATACAACTTCATACACATCCATTCCACAGGTACACATACTGTAGGTGCACTGCCCTACTGCACACAGATGGAAGAAAGTGATCGTGAAGCATCAACAGAAACTAATTTTCAAGGTTGTGTTGCTGTGGTAATGTCAGGAAAGGGCATTACCACAGCATTTCATAACTCCACCTATTATATTTACATCTGGAAATCTGCAAAACACAGTAGAGGTTCTCATAATTCATTACATCTCACTTGTTAGAGGCTCACCAGTGCTCCCCTTATCGACGATCAGCGCACTAATCCACTGAGCCACAGCCTCCCAAGTCAAAGGTCTGTGTCAGACCCATTGAAATATTTATTAACTTCAAACCAGATTCAATTTATTGACCTGAAGGTATACATACATTTGACCAATTACCTAATTTACGGTAAGAGAGTTTTTATTTTGGGCAGATACTGTGTGTTTCTGCATGAATCAGACAAATTAATATGAATACAGGTGCAACCAATTAAAGATCACCACTGTTGCATGAAAAGAACTGTTTTCTTTGTTCACTTCATAATTACAGATTTACATGATACCACTGTTTTCTTGATGGCCATAATTGTAAAACTAATATAGAGTTTAAATCTATTTTTTTTTCTTAAATCAGTGGAGCACAAATTGTTCAAAGACGTTTTAATTAAAACAAGGTTTCATTCCAATGCAGGATAACTTATTTTACTTAAAGGTATCCTTCAGACAGATTGAATAACACTGATAATAAATGATGGAAAACAAGCTGAAATGAGACTTCTATATTTGGTCACTGCTGTGCAAATTGACTGTGACCAAGTATCAGCGTCAGTAATTGTCATGCACCAGACTGACTGCTATCATTAAGCAATCCATTTCTTAATTTGCTGCTGCAGCCCCAGACACAAAGATATACAGAAACCGAGGCACGTAAAACACAGCTGGAATAATATTTCTGGCGAGTGTTAGACATCAGTCTATTTTTCGCTCAGAGGAAGAGGACCACCCTGTTTGGAGTAGACTTGTAAAAAAACGGATAGATAAAGAAATATATAAATGTGTTCATACTTGATTCATTTGTACTGTTTAGATATTTTTAAACAATTTGATAACTCAAATATTAACAATGTCAGAGAGCTCACGTAAGGGATTAGATTACGAGGGTTATCAGTTTAATGTTTTGACTGAGCAGCTAAAAAGGAGAGAGACGCAAGATGCAGGAAATGGACACATTATGAAACCTTTATAGGTTAATAAAGAATAGCAAACTGATCGGGAAATATTATGTAAAACAGCAGCCCAATGAATGAATAAAGAACAGTTGAGTAGACAGGTGATTTCCAGTCTTGTTCAATCAGTTTTCTGTATTACATTACATCAAAATACATTTTATTTAGCAGACGCTTTTATCCAAGGAGACCTACAATAAATGCAATCAGCCATGAAGACAAAACTCAAAACATATTGGCCAAGGAACGGTTGAAGCAAAGTCTTCAACTAGAGGGCAGTTGAGGAATGACAGGATACAAGCAATATCGTGACATTAATGATGATAATTAAGAGTTTATATGACACCTACTGCACTTTTAATTTATATTATCACAGCACAGTAGACTGCACTGAACAGCAGGTTCTGCACATTGTGAGAGAACAGGGACAAATCTGGTCTGTCTGCCTGCCTACACTGAACAGCAGGTGTGTTGTCAACTTTAGCAGGTGGGGCGAGACCGTGACACTTGATTATGCTCTTTCTCTAACACACACACACACACACACACACACACACACACACACACACACACACACACACACACACACACACACAAAGGGACTTTGTTCATGTAACACACATCCTACCTGCCCACACACACAAACACTACATGTGTTACAAAGCATGCAACTTACACAACAACCCACATGGAGTTCCAACACACACTCTGTCACAACACACACACACACACACACACAGTATCTATCTTTAGCTGTATAAATAGGCGTATAATTAAGGTTTAGATGTTGGAGTCATGAAGTGGAAACACGAACATTTAAACTGCTATTAATTTCCCATCAGACAGAGGCAGGGGGGGGGGTTGATGGAAAGAAAAAGAAATAGAGAAACCAGTGGAGCACGAGAGATGGATGATACCAGATCAGTGTTTATTATAGATACTTAACACATCAAAGCAACTGTTTATATGTGTTAGTTAGCAACTGTCTTCCTCAAATACACATTCTTAATCATTCCACAAATAATTACGCAAAGGGACCACTTTAAATATTGTAGTAACTGTGCTCATAAGAAATTCGGAAACTCAGCATTACGCTCTTTTAACGACCCAAACACATTTAAATTACGACCATGGCAATATTGCTTTATGTCCTTGAGCAAATAGGATGTGTTTGATTGTAGAGGATGAGTGAGATAATAAACCAGCGTTGTGTTCCATCAGAGAGTTTACGGGTTAAACATCCAGAGAACATTTCCATTGCATACATGCCATACTGCAGTTTAAACAGACTGGACCTACTATGGGTTGTTTTGTTTTCCAATGGGAAGCACAGTGAAAAGAACATCTACATCCCCACCAACCACACATGCAGATCATGATAAACATTTTATTTGTTATATAAAGGAATATTAAAATCCTCATAAACAATTAGCCTATATCCATTTATTTAAATCAGACATCTTACAAACCTGGCGTTTTTTTCTACGACAACAGTTTCCAATCTTGGCGTGACCCCTCAATAAACAGATTCATGTGTTTGTGTCTGCCGTTCAGACCTTCAACCATGTCGAATTTGACATGGTTGAAGGTCTGAAAGGCAGACACAAACTTGATTTTCTTGCAAAAAGATTGATTATTAGAGAATCCAGATCCAGAAAATATTCAACAAGTTCTGAAGGTAAATACATTTTGTGGTGGAGTTTTTCCAACAACATATGCAATTTATGACAAGAGACAAGACACTGATTCATTATAAGACTTCACTACGGTTGGGTAGGCTACGTATTACTTGTAAGGCTGACTGAAACTACAACAGAAGTATCTTGGCCTCTGAAAAACTGTGAAAGCTGTTTCACTGCCCTCCTTGGTAGTCCTCTGCTCTTATATTAGCAGAGCTGGGAGAAGTACTGGGCTACTCAGATCTTGCACTTGCGTAAAAGTAGAAGTACCAGAGGAGCCTATATGGCCAAAATCCTCACCCAAACTGTACTTTCCTATACCTCAAGTGAATAACCATAGAACATGTGAAGGGGGGCTTTTGAAAGTCTGTGTGGCCTCCCTCTGAGTTTGGGAACCACCTCCCTGTCCTGCACCTCCAACCCTCCCCTCCTCTCTCCCCTCCTCTCCTCTCTCCCCTCCTCTCTCCCCCCTCTCCGTGATATCCCGCCGCTGCACCGGTGTGTTCAAAAGCCGGAGCGCAGGCGGAGAGGAGCAGATGGTGCAAAACTGAAAGAGAAACACCAGAGGAAACATCTCTGTGCAGGGACATGTGGACGCAATAAATGCACATTGGTAGTGCAGCAGCATCGGTGTCCGATCCGCGGTAAAAGTAGAGGAGAGCAGCGGAAGAAACACGGAGCGCTTGTTCGTCCCCCCGGGTCAGCACCGCAGGGAGGAGACAGGCAGGGGAGGAAAGATTCCCCTAAACACAGTGAGAGCGTCGGATGAGGAGAAGAGGAGAGCGGAGGGCATCGGATAGGCAACAAGGAGTGAGTAGAAAAAAGTTATTCTCAAACTTCAATTTACTCTAACTTCAAACAAGTGTTACACCATCTCTGCTCAATAAAATTGTAGTTGTTCTTATGGTTAGTTTTATTTAATCTAAAATGTCAAATGCTTACTTTTTTATTGTTATTACCCTGGTGTGAGCTTACTTTTCCTCTTCTATCCTGTGAAATCCTATCCTTTTTTTGTGGCTGGATTTCCCTAATAAAGGTTTATCTTATCTTATCTTACACTTCAAACTGGCTGCATTGTTAAAACAACAATTTCAAGCTAATTTTGCAGTGATACACAATTTTAAAAAGTAATTTAACTGTCTTGAAGCTCAGGCAAGATGTTAGGTTAAGTTGTTCCCCCTATCTTATTCCTGCAGTCTGAGTGTGTGTGTGTGTGTGTGTGTGTGTGTGTGTGTGTGTGTGTGTGTGTGTGTGTGTGTGTGTGTGTGTGTGTGTGTGTGTGTGTGTGAGTTTTTCAGCTGCTCGGTTTTCAGAGAGGTTGACTATTTCAACTTGTCAGACATTCAGTTAACATGGTTCTTACATAAACACCGGGAGTTTAAGATATTTTAATAAATGATAATATTATTCTGACATTGTTATATAATATAGAAATATTTATGTGGTGGAAGATAAACAACCTGATTTTTTTATTGAACAATTTTCAATCTCATTCAAATTGAATAAAATGTTTTGATATGATTGCTGAATTTTAAAGAAATGGGCTCACATTAAATCAATGCTTGTTGTAGGCTACTTTATCGTGGTGTCACCTGTGACTTAATTGAACAGCAACAGGAATACAAACGTTCAGTTCGGTTCAGTTTGTTTTATACAAGAAAACAACAGTTATAAGATTTCATGCCTTGATGTTTTGGGTCCAAATGTATAATTACTTTTCATAAAACATGTTTTATCAAAATGTCTCGCCTCTTCTGTCTGAAGGAACAGACTCCTTATCCTGACCCTCTCCTCCTCTCCTCCTCTCTGCTGCACTGCTTCTTCATTCATTCCCCTCAGACAACACACACACACACACACACACACACACACACACACACACACACACACACACACACACACACACACACACACACACACACACACACACACACACACACACACACACACACACACACACACACACACTCTGGGATGCACAGTAGGCAGGACGAGTCCACCAGCGTGTCCAGAGGGGTCACTGACCTCCCCGAATCTGTTAAGCTGCCCCTAAGAAAATCAAATGTAATGCCTTCAAAATCTCCTCACGCCTTCATTATAACAACAGCCTGTACTCTCGTCTCAATTCGTACAACAATGCTAGGCTTTCAACCAGAACCAAAAGTCTCATCACACCTGTTTTACACTGTTTTAGGAATGATTTTTAGATCTTATATATTGCCTTTAAGGCTCTTCTTGCCCTGGTTTTCAGACTATATTTTAAACTCTGTAATCCTGTTAAACCTAATTGTAAATCCCCAGGCATGGAAAAAAATCCAAATAACCACAAAAGGTGCAAAACTACCATAAAAAGACACAAAATGACAAAAAAGTGACAGAAGAGAACCACACAGATACACAAAACACCTCCATTTGAAATATTTCTAAAGACACACGTCATCAATATGGCGCATTTGATTGGAGGGGGGAAAAGATGTTTGAGGACACAAATCTCAATGTCTTTTTATCTAATTTCCCCTGGCAGTGGCAGCTCCAGACTTATTGGACCCTAAATCCGCCACTCACAACACCAAGCCCCGCCTCTCCTTCTCCACAAAGCCAATCACACTGACTCCCCGGGAGGAGAGTGAGGTGAGAGAAAAAACAGAGAAGTCCAGATTTTTAAAAGTAATTTCTTTATCTCTTGATTCACACGGTGCTCATGTAACAGTGGGGAAAAACACATATTTTAAAAGTTTATAAAGTATTTATGTGAGTTGATTGATCAGTTGAAGTGTTGTAGATGGTTGCCACAGTGATGAAATGGAAGACGGTGACGGCCATCTTTCTTTTGGTGGTCCTGTACCTGGTGATGGGAGCAGCAGTCTTCAGATCCCTGGAGCAGCCTCACGAGAGGTAGGCGGGAGAAATACATTTACAGCTGTCTGTCTGCAGCGCTACGAGAACAAACATCCATCTATCCATCTGTTTACCTGTCTCTCCCCTGTGCACATTTGATATTTTATGATGTCTTTAGATTTCATTCATAATTTAGAGATACTAATGTCTGCAGGTAAAAACAGGCTGAGCCACCAAAGAGAGTCACAGAGGTTGAAAGGTCACAGAGGTGTGTCCTACTAAGACAGGGGTGTCAAACTCAAGGCTCCGGGGCCAAATCCGGCCCGTGACTTCATTTGATGTGGGTTAACCCTAACCCTAACCTCACAAGAGCTTGCAAAGAATATAATACGTTTATTATACGGTTATATGCCACTTTACAGAAGCACGTTGCCCATAAACTACATGTCCCACAATACATCTCGTTTTGTGACGTGCGCACTGAAGAGACTTGCAGTTATTTCCCCTGGACTTCTGCTTTCAGACGTAGTTAATTACTAAGTTATTACCCTATCCGATAATAATCCAATTCAGAGGCAATAATGTCATATAATACATTATTTTATATATATGATATATTTATATATGTATATTTATATAGTCTTAAAAGTTACAACCGGCCCTTTGAGTGCAACCATAATGCTAATGTGGCCCGCGATGAAATTGAGTTTGACACCCCTGTACTAAGAAGACCACTATTTTGACGACAAACAACCATGTATATCTAAATTACTTGTGTATACATTATTCAGTAAGTGTGTTATTATGATTTTTAGTTATACATTTCCAAATCTAATTTTAACAACCACAAAGCACACAAAGCCTTGACCCCAGGGTGGGAATCATTGCTGTAGACTTTGTGCCTTAGTGGGTGATTACAGCAAGAAAACAACTCGATGTTATCCTTTTCACTGTAGTGCTTAGAGCCTAAATATGATCTTTCACAAGTCAAGTCATTTTCACACAGTTTAAAAAAGATAAAATCTGAACGATGACATTACGGCACATTTTCTTAAAATGAAATGTGCCGTAAAGTCATCGTTCAGAGTTATTACTGTATTGTTTTTCGAACAAGGGTGGACTCTTATTGTGAAATATGAAGTAATGATCAGAAACATTTCTCCCATACTTTCTCTTTAGTGCCCAGCGTTTGGCCATTCTCACCCAGAAGCTGGAGTTCCTGTCCACACACTCCTGTGTCAACCAGAGCCAGCTGGAGGAGCTGGTTAAGGTTAGACCTGCCTCACATTAAAAACTACATACGTTTGATTGAAATACTGTTCTGTATTTGAACAGTTATAATGCAGCACAGCTGCAGTGGATTCAGCACCATGGACAGCTCCTACAGCTTCTTAGGAGGAGAAGGAAGACATGTGTAGCCACAGATATTTTGTTTCTGTTTGGATACTCTCATCCAGTTACATTTCTGAACGATTAAACCCTTCACATTGACTCACACTTTAATGCATTCTAGGAGACAGCTTGCCCCGCCCAGTTTGCCAAGTTACATACAGTGTATTTTCCATCTTCTATCTGATCCTTCCTGCAGCACTAAAGAAAGACAAAGCTCAAAAGCATCAGCTCAAATGTTTCGTGATAATATTTACTGCACAACATAATATTTGGTTTCTAACCAGGATTTGATAGTTTCCAATTGTAAATCAATACTAATTGTTGATCTGAAACACACATTTAAACACAAACATCTCTCTTCCTCTCTCTTTCTCCTCTTCAGCAAGTAGTGTCTGCCATCCGCTCAGGAGTGAACCCTGCAGGGAGGCTGACCAATCACAGCAGCCTGTGGGACCTAAGCTCCGCCTTCTTCTTTGCTGGGACTGTCATCACAACCATCGGTAGGACACACAGTGTTGATCCCTCTCAAATTCCTCCTATCAGACAGACATTCAATTACTTACAAATGACTCACACTTACTCACAGGAGCACTGCCATGTTGCTTCAGACGTTCAGAGGGTTCACTCTAAAAGAATAAAATAGAGATTAAGAATAATAAATTGTTTAAAAATTCCCAACACATGTAGAGTATATAACAAGATAACCACATACTCCTACTTGCATGTTTATGTGTTAAATGATTTCAATGTTCTGGTTTCAACTGCTGTGGGAAGTATGAAATGGTGATTGATATCCTCTTTTGGTGTCTCTGTCCTCTCTGCAGGTTTCGGGAACACCTCTCCCCACACAGAAGGAGGAAGGATCTTCTGCATCATCTACGCCTTGTTGGGGATTCCTCTGTTCGGCTTCCTCCTGGCTGGCGTAGGAGATCAGCTCGGCACCATCTTCGGCAAGGGCATCGCCCGAGTGGAGAAAATGTTTGTGGTGAGTCCGGGGGGAAATGGAATCACGTACGCTGGGCAGACACACAGATATTGTTTTACATGTTTGAATTCCATCAAGTTTATTGTTTGAAGGGCGCAAGTCTTTAAGCTACCCTGAATAATGAACATCAAGAGATAAATGTGAAACATATTGAGGTGATAGTTATAGGGTCAACCTATGGAATATAAACAAGAATACATTAAAAGAATGTAGTGATATGTGTGCATTTTAACAAACGTACAAAAACATTATCTTTGAAAGCTGCACTAACCAACACTGAAATGACATAAATGGTTTCTCTGATTTATGACGTTTTTACTTGACTATATTTGAGTTTCTTCATTATAGTTTGTTATGATTTACAGTTAGAAATGAGGGGTGTTGTTTTTGTGCTTACTAAGGTTTTGATGAGGTATTAGGCAGAATAAGGGTTTACATGCAAACCCTTTTAGAATTAGAGATTAGTTTGTTTGTTTTGTGTCGTTTCTTAGATTCACCTGTAGTGTCTCTCTGTAAAAACAGTATTTCTAAGAGGAGATGGTTGAGTCTTTGTTCAGCATTGATGTTTTATGTCAAGTCTTCAGCTCCCAATAAGAGAAACAAAGCTCACAAAATGTGTGTTTTTAAAGTTGAATTTGCTGCTGTTTGAAATATGCTTTCGAGCCTTGAATGAAAGGAGCTGAAGTGTGCAATGTAGAACGATTTGCTCCTTCTGCTGCTCTTAGGGCACCCGAGGGACTGAGTAATGAATATTATGATTAAGGCTGAGGACAGAGGACAAAAGTTCATTGTGTAAGTCTGTGTCTGTGTGGGTGTTGTCAAAGCCTTTTTGCTCTGTGCCCAGAGTGTGTGAGACTGCAGCATTATCCTCAGTGAACACTGTGAATGTCTTTTCTTTCTAAAGCACCCAGGGGACCAATTTATGGAATAAGGCTATTATTACTTACAGCGTCTATCTGTTTTACCAAATCACCTCTCTGGTCCATACTGATATATCTCAATAACTGTTGAAGGGCTGGCTAAGAAATGTTGTAAAAACATGTATGCTTCCCAGAAGAGGAATCGTATCACTTTGTCAATCCTTTGACTTTTAATCTTTGTGACTTTTGGTTTTAAATGAAATGTCCAAAGAAATATTGAATGCATTGTTGCTCACTAAATGCTAACATTTGAATGTAAATGGTAAACGCACTGAATTACAACGCTATCAATCAGTCAAAAAAACATATATACAGTGATAAAGCTGTACTATGTTCACCGTCCAAGTTTACATTTGATGAAGCTGGTAAAGTAAAGCTGTAAATTATCATTGGATTACCAGTTTTTGGTCATAAACCAAAGTATTATAGAATAAAGAAATTCTGAACTGATGATGATGATGCTGATAACGTTTTAGTAAAAGACAAAAATGGCGCCAAATTGATTTCAATTCGATTTAGTCTTTATAAATTCAAAATCCTCCTCATGCGCCCTGCTTAGATACATTTGGTTTGAACAACAAGTGCTTCTCACGGATGGACAAATTAAATGAACATATTTTAGCATAAAAATATCTACATTGGATCTAGTTAATCCATTTCAAGATTGCCACTCAAATGAAGAGGCAAATCATTTGATTTAAACAGACAATGACCACAAAAGCTTCATGTGTATTTACAGTGATCACAAACAGCCCATCTGTAGAGTTTGTAAAGGTACCTGACGTGTCCCGTCTCCTCTGCCCCTCTCTCTCAGCACTGGGACATCAGTCAGACAAAGATCCGGGTCATCTCCACGCTGCTGTTCGTGCTGTTCGGCTGCCTGCTGTTTGTGGCGCTGCCAGCGGCCATCTTTAAACACATCGAGGGCTGGTCTGTGCTGGAGTCCCTTTACTTTGTGGTCATCACGCTGACCACCATAGGATTTGGAGACTTTGTGGCAGGTACAAACACAAAGCCAATGACTGAAGAGCAAAATCAGACAGCTATTTCAAACCTGTTTGTCTCTCTGCCTGTATCACCTGGTGAACTCTTCTTGATGTGTCACACTCATTGCCTCTGTCTCCATGTCTAGGTGGTTCAGAAATAGAGTACTTAGATTACTATAAACCAGTTGTTTGGTTCTGGATTCTGGTGGGACTCGCCTACTTTGCTGCCATCCTCAGCATGATAGGAGACTGGCTCCGAGTCATCTCCAAGAAGACCAAAGAAGAGGTATGAGACCGCTGGTTTGATGTTCAGTGATTTCTCCAATGTGTCCCTTTTTCCTTTTTTTGGTTTTGTTATTTCATAATGTATGTCATATTTCATTTTCAGGAAATAAAACTGCATTGTGTGATGCTGACAAAATAATAATAATCATTTTAAAATGCAGGGAAAATTATAAAATGTTGCGCCCAGGCTGTTTACTAGAAAAGGCATTGATATGAAATAAAGTGAACATTTATCAACATTTTTTTATTATGTAATGCAGTGTTATTAGAAATCTGTTTATCTTTCGATGTATTTGTGTCTTTCAGTAAAGTGACACTCAGGTTCTTCATGCTACTGTTACAGTGCCTCAACTTTTGCCCTCTGCTTAACAACATTTCAATGATTAGACTGTTTTCTAATCCAATCCACCGTCTGCCATCTAAACACATAAACGCAGTCGTATGCCATTACCGTGAGAATCTCCAGAGAAGAAAGTTGTCATTCAGAAAACATGTGATGATGTCCTCATCAGAAGAAAAGAAGTCTTATAGCACTACTCGTATCTTCAACAAGAACATGCTGACATGACATGGTGTAGCCCTTAGCTAACCATAATTAGTTGTATTATTCAGGTCTGAAACTGTTAAGTGGTGATGTGCGTGTGCGTGTGCGTGTGTGCGTGTGTGTGTGTGTGTGTGTGTGTGTGTGTGTGTGTGTGTGTGTGTGTGTGTGTGTGTGTGTGTGTGTGTGTGTGTGTGTTCTTATTAGTGGGATATAGTCTGAAGCACAGGCAGTATTTGAAATGTGTTAACAGAACGGCTCTATTCCTCTTTTAATGAGTTCTAAAGACAAAACTGAAGCCTACTCGTTAGCATAAATATCCTGGTTCAACACATTGAACACGTTTTTTTTCTCAACCTACCCTAATTTGGATTTCTAGGGAAGAAGCGCAATTACAGTACGTCATTTATTTTCTAACTAAAGGACAATAACATGCACTTATATGTTACAGCTATTGAGTTTATATAAAACATCTTATTCAGAGGGGAAACAATTAACAAAAAAACTAAACATTCAAACATGGAAAAGACATAATGTGATTTGGTCATTGACTGACAGGTCATGGATAACTGATTGTCCATGGATATAGTCATTTAATTGTATTGTCAAATGGTGATAATGTATGGTAACTTTATCAAAAAGAAACAGGTCCCTGTGGTGAGACATTTAGACCTTTAAAACGCTTTTTAAAGGTTATGTCTCTTTTTAAATTATTTTACATTTTGCCACTGCCATCAAAGAAGGAATCGTTTTTCCAGCAGTTCCTTAAGTGTTTCCTCCCTTAATCTCTATTTATTTCTATGTCTTTCTCTCCTTGCAGGTAGTGGAGATCCGAGCTCACGCTGCAGAGTGGACGGCTAACGTCTCCGCAGAGTTCAAGGAGACACGGCGGCGTGTTAGCGTGGACATCCACGATAAGTTCCAGCGTGCCACTTCAATTAAACGCAAACTGTCCACTGATCTGGGATTCATCCCCGGCCCTGAGCTCACCCTGCCCAGGAGGACCATGTCCGTCAACTTCAGCGACGAGCGGAGAGAGAGCCTGATCACTCCTCTGGCCCGAAACGGAGGCTTGTTCATGAACGGTTTGGACCCCGAGCGAGGAGATATCGTGGACCACTTCAAGTAGGGAAATCGTTCCAAGGTCTTTCTGTTGGTGGCCTGATGAGAATGAAGCAGTGGCGACTCGTCATTCGGGACAGCCCCACCTAGTGTCAGCAGAAAGTAATGAAAATAATAATTCCAAAAATATGCAAAATATATATATGTTAAAATATATTTTAAGATCATATTTAGTCGTCGGATTCGTCTGTACATTGCTGTTTTAGTCTGCGTTCTTCTAACTAGTGTCTACAGTGTGCCTATTGAGCCGTGTTGAGCGATGTGGGGCAAGCCCCTCTCTCTGCTGTCAACATGAATGGGTGCTGTAAAAACTACACTGCGCATGCTCACAGTCTTTTTCTATTCAATGTGTGCGGCAAAAAAATAATCACCAGTGGGGCAAAGTGCTGGCAACCCCACCAAAACGTAATCTCATAATTCAGAGAGCTGATTGGCTGTAAATACGTGTGCCGCGAAAAGTGTAGTTGTGAAGAGGAGACGAGAGAGGTGCAGCTTATAGCCATTCAAATCAGTAAAACGGAAAGAAAATGAATGAAGTTGACCATATACTTCAGCTTTGGTAAGTTCATTTTATGTCATTTTATTGAAAAGACAAGTAGAAAAATGAGAATGTGGTACTATGTGACCCCAGATGAGACATGTTCACCCCGCTGCAGGAATGTAAGCCTTGCTGAAGAACATTTGTGGATACAGCGGGACACTTTTCACCGCCAGGGAAACAAAGAGCAAGATGGAGGACTTACAGAACAGTTGATCTTGTTGGAAACGACATTAAGTGAGTGTCTGTCAATTTAAGATCTTGGAATTAAGCAGAGATGACAATTTAAAAACGACAGTTCTCTAAAGGACAAAATAAATGAAAGCGTCCAACATACTGCATACACTAAATTGTAATGCCCTAAGATGTCGATGGTGCCTGTATGTGTCCAATATTTTACAATTAAGGATATATTTTAACTACAGAGCTTTACAACTAATGAAATATTAGTTTGGGGGAATTTCCCTAGTGCAGAGACTGAGAATCAGACAATCAGACTTTTATCACGAAATAAAAAAAGGCATGTCAGAGATGTCATTGTGATGGTTTGATGTGATGATATCGGGGTTGTAAAAGGTACAGAAGATGATGAAATACAAAGATGACAGACTCTGGTGGACAGAGGCAGATTTTGTGCTAAAGACTGCAGAATGTGAAGATGTTGGGAGGAGGGGATATGCTTTGGTTTGTCGCACAATCAGCCGTACTGAAGAACAACATAGATGGAAAACTGTGTTGCTGATCAAGCTACGAACTCTAGCTCCTATTTGAGCTGTATTTATCTGATTTTCCTCTCCAGCAAACATTATATTTAACAAGAATGAAAAGTCCTGACCCAAATATACAACTTTTAAGGGCCCTATTATGGTCATTTTCAGGTTCATATTTGCATGTTGTGCCTCTATTGTGACATGTTTCCATGCTTTAATGTTCACAAAGGTCTTTATTTGTACCCTCTGTCTGAAACCAGGGCCCAGTCTACTCTGATTGGTTAGCTGGCTGGCTCTGTTGTGATTGGTCAACTGCTTAGAGATGTCCCGCCCCTTAGCCTTTCACGTACAATGTGTTGGAGCGCTAGCCACTAGAAGAGTGAGTGTAACGTAGTGATGTCATTAAGTAACGAAGAAAACGAAAGACTACAATGGAGAATAATTAATGGGGTTGACCACTGCGGCTTCCACATTACTTTTTGAGGTTTCGATCTCATCATAATTTTGATTTGACATTGGATTATTTCCAGTAAAAAATGTCCACCACCTCTTTTTGGTGTTGGTCAAGATGACGAAGGTGGATGAGGTTCAAAGTGGTCTCTCTGATTCTGGATGTCATTTTGAAAGAAATGTAATCACTTAGTGTCTGACATTTGTCAAACCGCTGCTGTGCCTTAAACTCTTCAATATGCCAAATCAAGGCTAGCACAACACATTGTAAGGGGTTGTTCTTATTCATATGTGTAACAATTATAAGTATTGAAACTGAAGAAATAAGGTGTTTCATAAGGCCATTGCTGATGGTGTTTATCTAGTCCAACAAAACCAAATCAGTTGCTGTAACTACAGGCCTGGAGCCATGCGTGCCTATGTGCATCAAACCAATTGTGTTTTCTATAATGGTATAATTTAAATGGCTCTTTTGACACACACACACACACACACACACACACACACACACACACACACACACACACACACACACACACACACACACACACACACACACACACACACACACACACACACACACACACACACACACACACACACACACACACACACACAGATCATTTAACACTTGGAACATTTTCCGATTACATTAGGAATAAAAACCATATTGTAGGTTGACTCGATTTCAAGTTAAAATGGTTTTAAATGAATCTCTTGAATGTAATGACAAAGAAAGTCTGGGGTGCAGCTTTAGTTGTTTGGTGCAAATATAATACTCTGAGAACAGCAGGTAAAAATCTGTCTGTGGTTATTTTACTTCTATTGGACGCTCTAAAGAGTCGTTAAAGAGCCCCCTAGATATCTAAAACGAACCTAAGTAAGGGTGAGGGAGGGGTCAGCAGGAGAGTCCCATACATGTTGTGATTTTCTCTCCAGCAGACTATAGCAGTCTGCAGGTTCAGTACTGACACTAATGGAAACAGTAGTGACGTACGCTTTGTAGAGGCTGTTGGTCTGCGTTCTTCTCCTTAGAAAACACATGACAGTGTAACACAATCATCCTTTTCAGCTGTGCTAAAAAGAAACTAACTTAAAGACATTTTATTTTCTGCTGATGTGCTAGAAATGTGAATGCTTTTTATGATGATGAGAACTGTATTTTTATAAACTGTATGTTTATACTTGTAGAGTACTTTCTTAACTGAGAACACATTGTAATAATAATGTCTGTAGAGCTGATCGAAACGCAATGTAACAGAGATTTTTGTACGATATCAAACTTGAAAATATACCAGATTTCAATAATTGTTCTGTTTGCTGTCTTTTTCAAAGTCTTTGACCTTTACTGCCTTTGGCATCACAGCATTTTACAAACAACACAAACAAGATCCTGCACTCTCTCCTCTCCATTGCAAAACAAAGTTTGAATTCCATTGTTGTTGTAGTAGTGATATTTGACTTGCATGTACAGCAGCATGTACAAGCTGATTAAAACACTGTTCACTTGCATAAATGCTGCAGATATAATGCATATATTTGTATGTTTTACTGTCACTGTCAATCATGTCTTAACAATACACACCCACACAGTCATTGATAAACAACTTTGCATGTTCATAAGGATTTAAAGTTATAAACACACAAATAACCTGTAATGTTAATCCAGTTACTCTCAGACATGCAATGACCAACTCCTACTCACTGTCAGACCTAACTCTGCTTTATTAGTTATTTGGAAGTACATTTATCTTCTCTTCTTTCACACAGTTCACAGCCAGTGAGTAATGTTTAGTGTTTAAACTTCCTGTATGAGTGACTGGCATGTGGCTGCAGATCTTATGATGCATGAGGGAAAGTTATCAAAGCAGGAAGTACAGAGCAGAATCAACAGCTCACAGTGAGATGGATACAGTACAGCGGCTCATTTCACCAGGATATTTTCTCTATTGTAAGAGCACATCCTGCGAGCCAAGGTCGGCTCACATCAAACTGTAAATCCTCAATTAAATGTTAAAACTTTTTATACTTGTTTGTTCGGAATAAACCAAGGAAATTAGCTTTAGAGGTGCTGGAAGGTTTTTTTGTTTGACTTTTTAACACAGCCATGCTATCCGTTTCCCGGGCTTTAGGCTAAGCTAAGCTAACCGCTAACCTGTTAATTTACCTGACATTGTCATATTCTTCACGTACCCTTTGTAACCTATAGCTTCGTTCTATCATTTATGTACAGCATAATGTATTACCTTTCCTTGTCTTTATTGATAATGTGCAACAGTGATGGCACATATATCAACCACAGTAAAATATACGTTACATTTAGAGCATATGAAGACGATCAAGCCAGAGGCTCTTATGGAGTACTTAACTATAGCGCTGATTTATTATTGGTGTATATTAGGACTGCAACTAACAATTATTGTCATTGTAGATTCCTCTGTTGATTATTGTCTGGACTGTTTGGTCTACAAAATGCCAGAGAAACTTCAAAAATGTCCTTTCCTGTTACTTGAAGTCTGCTTGTGTCAGTAGAAAACCTGTAGATGTGATAAATGAAGGACATTGAAAAAATCTCCATTGCACACCGTTTAAAATCAGAACTGCACTGGAAATTAGGTATTTACCCAGCCCTACTTAAAGTTTTCTGCTGTGTAAGTCCTTAGCTATGACGAGTAAATACAGTAACATCCGTTGAAAGCCCAGACGCAGCCTCATGGAGCAACAAGAACTTTATCTCCCCTTGCCTTTTTGCCACAGCTCTATAGCTGTAACATTAGTTTTTCATTATCATTTCCCTGAGCTTAAAGTTTGGTAACATTATAACAACAGAAGTCAGATGGCCTGAAGCGTCCAGAGGCTTTTAGGTTGTTATATTATAATGGTTTCTATTTTTAGTTCTGCGCACTTCTAGGTCATTCTTTCCTAGAAATGATCTGTAAAATAGCAAGAAAAAGGCTTGTTCTCTGTTTGTGTAATTGAACATTATATCTCAATGCAGAAGGAAGCTGATCCTGTGTGACGTCAAGCGAGCTCGGTCAGGCAGGTTCCTGCTTTATCTCCCTTTAAAAATATGCACGTTCAAGATTTATCTTTAATCTAATCATTTATCAATTTGATCTTAATGTGGGACTCTTCCTCATCTTCTCTTCCTCTGTCTGTTGGTTTCCAGCCTTATAGTCTCTCCTCACAGAGGACTCAGACATGTAGACGGATGACACAAACTGATCCCCACAGAACATATACTTAATGTAACCTGCTGCAGAAGCCACATAGCTAGCATGCAGACCTCAAACGAGAGACAATCTTTGG